GTTTTGCAGCATGGGGCTTTCTGGCTGCTACATTATGTAGGCTGTCGGGGGAACCGTGAAGACCTCAGGACGATTTCAAAAATAGCAGCGTATGCTTGTCCAAATATACTGTCTTTAAAATCAGCTTTTGGTTCCTTGCGCTTTGCATTTCAACCTTTAGATCAGTAGATGGGTAGCAACACACGTGTGTGTGCCTTAATTAGCAACATCTTTACGTCCATCCTGAGGATATGTTTCGACCTTTACGTTCTGCTTTAGCCAGTTAGCATCATCTGTACCTCCTCCTTATGATAGGGTAATAATCATCAGTCGGTTACCAACAACTTCACATAACCCTCTCGTTGCATTCCAACCTATATGAAGCAAAATTTACACCAGATTATTTAAATATAGAATTTTTGTTTTGCGTTTTATTTTATTCATTTATTGCAAATATTTTATTGTGACTATACCACATAGCGATTGAGAATCATTTTGGGAGACGTCATCCACTGAGCACCCCACCTTGATGAGTTTCAACCTTCATGTTGTATAATATGTGCCGTGCGACTGACTGGCGACCAGTTCAGGGTATAGTCTGCCTATCGCCCAATATCAGCTGGGATAGGCTGCAGCAACCCCCAGTGACCCCCTTCAGGATAAACGGCGTTGAAAATGGATGGATGGGTTTTGTATAATAAGCAGTTAGCACTATCTGCACCTCCTCCTCGTGATTGGTTTTAACACCCAACTTACAGTATCAACACCTTCACGAGCAGCATACACCGTTAAGAACAGACTGCTGCAGAATGCAGGATTGAGACTTGTTCACAATTTAAAGAGCTATCATGGTGGCTGATCCATCAAGATGCAACAGAAATGCTATGCAGATGGAGCACTTTAAATAACTATTCACAAATTCGGTACAATAATATAAGTACACTAATCACCTATTTTCATTATTTTGCCCTCTTTCTGGCAGGATGCTACCTAAATAGTCTAAATAGCAAAGTAGTGTTGTACATTATTTGGTGTCATGGAAGTACATTGTCTTGAAGTGATACATCGTCAAGTTACGGACTGCTCCGGAACGAAGCGGATCCCACGAACATCGACAGGTGTCTTAACAAAAAAGTTTAATTTCAAAAAAACACAATACCGACAAAGTTCAACAAAAGTCGCTGGTAAAAAAAAAAATTTAAAAAAAAAAGTGCCAGAATAATACGCAAGTAACATAAATTACATGCAAAAGGCAAGGAGGGCTCAATAACGAATATTGCTTGTCATAAAAAGACAAGGAGATCCAGTTCCGAGAAATGAAAATACATAAACAAGAAAAATTATATGGAAATACACAACGTGAACAAGAGCACTGTAAAACAAAGACTCCAACCGTCTGGATAATCAAACACTTGAGACATGAGTCGAGAGCATGTGAATTATCCCACAGAGACCTGGCAGCTTGGAAGTCCTGAAATCAGGGGTGCCTAAACATTATGAAAATCACCGTTCCCCCATCATGGGAGTGTTCGGAAATTCATTTTGAGTGTGCGGCTTCACTCAGACCGTTTGGAAACTCGGAATGTTATTCAAATCTGCTGTTCGGTTATTCAAACTGCCCCCAAAACAACACAGCCCATTGCAAGCAGTACAAGGAATGTTAACGGCTGCTTTTGGAAATTAATGTGAGTGGAGCGTGCTCTGCACACACAGCACATGAGGACAAGGTCAACAAAACGTCGCGTTGCTAACTACATTAAAGTTTTTCTTTTTATGTTATAATGGCTTGGCTTTAACCAAAATCCCACGCAAAAGGTACACTCCTGGGAGATTAATGCACCTTGTAAATTGTTGTTGTGTGAAGCTAAAGTTAGTTGCCATGTCTAATGCTGCTTTTACTTACTTAATTGCATACTTATGGCAGAAGTTGCTTCTTCTTCTTTTTTAAAAGATGACAAAGTAGAAGAGGCAACAGTAGTCATGGCACCTAACTTTCGGGTTTGCACAACAACAAGTTAAAAGGCACATTAATCCACCAGGATTGTACCACTGGCTTTAATGCAAAGTTGGATTCTGATGACGGTAAGACATTTACAAAAAAAAAAAAATGTTCTCATAACCTCTCATTCATTTATGAATGCAGCCTATTACGAGCAGTTCTGTATTTATTCTTCATTTTGCAAATGTACAGGTAAAGCTCTACTCCATGAAAATTGACCTCGTGAGGAGGGGCTTGGGATAGTGAGCGAACACTATATTTACGGTTGAGACTATTAATATAGTCAATTATAAACATATAAACCCCGGGGAGGGATCAATTACTTGCAGTTCCTGTCATTTATGAACAGCAGGGATTACTGTATAGGATATAGAAGCTCTTTGTCACATGCCACACAATTAAGTTTCTCACTCAGTGATGAATGTAACATGCGCTCCCAACACCCACGTTGGGAACACTCACCAGACTCGTGTCAACTCCATTCGCTAATGAGCGTCCTATCTGTGATTGTACTACTTCTTCCAAAGGCACGCTTTGGAGAACATTGGATGAATTTGGTCTGGTAGAGGAATACCTGGGAGAGAAATACTACCAGTCCTCCTTTCTAATTAGTTCAATTAAAATAGCCCAAAAAAATGCCGCTCTCATGCAAGTGAGTGACAGTCCACCCCACAACATCCACGACTGGACCAGTGGCAAGCCTGGCTTTTGTTACCATGACAACTATAGGTGGAGCCTGAGACTTGCAACTGTGTGTGTGTGTGTGTGTGTGTGTGTGTGTGTGTGTGTGTGTGTGATTTTCATTTTTGGAAGAAGCATTTCATTCATGACGTCAAACAGCAAGAAAAATGTCAGACGAAGCGATGTATATTTCTACAATAATTATCCACATTTCACTTTGCACTAATTAACATATTCACATTTTTCCTCTTTTGGAACCAGCTATTTGCTGGGGAAAAAAAAAAGGAATTCTTTCTGAAATGCCTTAAGATACCACAATATGGCAAAAAAGGCCCTGTCCAATAGGAAAGTAGTACATTCTGTCAAAAAAAAAATATTCAAGTGATGCCTTTCAATTTAAAAAAAAAAAAAAAAGACATGCTGTTGAAGACTTAATTTTAGCCTGAGCTGCTATCCTCAGATGTCACGAGAGTCTCGAACCAAATGTTTGTCACAGTACCAAGACTGACCTGACCAAATACATGCGTATTTGCGATTGTTAGCCCAGGCTTTTTGGCGAGCAGATCAGGGAGAGAGAAAAACCCGAACAAATCCCGCACCACTGGATAATCACTAAGGACGTTTTTTTAGAGACATCTGACATCTGGTCTTGACTGACACTGATCAGAAGGGTTGACGGGGGGTGCTCAAATTTAGTGCGATTATCGGATTGTGTGTACTCTCGCATTCTGTTGCACCTTTGAGGTTTGAGCTGTTTTTATACGCAGGTCAACACTCACACCCAAACAACCTTGGAACAGTGACAGGAGAAGAAGAAGTACGCCCACTCTCTCTCTCTGCACTAGCCTCCGCACGAAGATGTATTTGCATCACATTTTCGTCCTAAATTCTTAGTTCAGGCCCAATTTGGACAAGCACTGAACAACTGCACGAGCAACTTGTCACGTGAAGCTCCAATGTCGGCTCTGTTTCATTTTACCTCGTCCGGTCCCATGTTGCAGCTTTCTTGCACTTCAACGCTAACTGAAAGACATCAACAGTAATCGCGTGGCTCAGCCTCAGTACGAGCTATGTGTGCAGGGTCTGATGGGATACGCTATCTGCTTTGAGCTGAATGAAAGCGGATATTAAAGAGCCTCATTTTTTTTCTTTTTTTGGTGCGTGCACTAAAACAAATAGTGTAAACCCCCCATGGCTGTTAGAGGCCCATTCGCTCATGTAAGCAGCTCACAACCACAGTACAATATGTCTGATGCGTTAGCGTGAGCCTTGTGTTGTTTCTCAGAGGCACTCACACGTACAGCATATCTTGTGCCCTGTTATCTAACTCAAAGTCACAAGGCCTAAAATGTCTACCCGATGCCCACTGTTATGTAAAGCAATAAATTGATAGACCGAATGATTGTGCAGGGGAAAAAAAAAAAGTCGAACAATGCATTTTGTATACTGTTTAGTCACAGGTGAGCAGAAGCCTATCCCAGCTGAGTTTTGGGGCGAGAAGTACAGTCCACACTGGACTGGTTGCCATTCACTCGCAAGACACACAAAGAGTAATGTTCTACTTGGGGTCACTGGTGAGCTGCAGTCTATTCCAGCTGACTTTTGGCAAGAGAAGTGGATTCCCCCCTGGGCTGGTTGACAGTTTATCAAAGGGTACATCCATTTATCCAATTTCTGCACCACCTTTCCTCATTTGGGTCACAGGTGAGTTGAAGCCTATCCCAGCTGACTTTTATGTGAGAAACAGGCTACACCCTGGTCTGGTTACCAGCCAATCACAGTATACAGGGCAGACAAAGATCTTTTCAAGCTCAACCTTCAAAGCAAGGGAACATTTTGAGTCTTAAATGAACCTAACAAGCATGTTTTTGGAGTGTGGGAGTTAAGTGGAGTACAAAAGAAGTGCCCCATATCAGTATAACAATACAATATTCTTGTAAGTAACTCACCATTAATTGCTGGCTGATGATTGAGGACTAAAGTCTCAAGAAAGACCTCTACTAAACGTTGGATATTATATAAAAATAAAAGCATGTTAACCAGTCGAACTGGTGTATTCTACACTACCATCTATCTGAACTAAAAATACAAATATTCTCCAAATAACTTTCCTGAGACTAAAAGTCCTGTTTACATGTTTATGTCATTGCACGTTGAGCCGCAAATAAGGGCGATTGTGTCATATTACACATTTGCTTTGGAGGCTAAGGGGCGGAGGAAGAACGAGACTAAATTAGAACGGGAGATTTGGGAGGAGGGGTTTCCCTCTCCAACAGGGAGCTAAATAGATGTGATATGTTACAACACTGTGTGTCAGGAAAAGTTCGACAGATTTGCTTACCGTTGGGAAGCTTATGACTGTTCTCCATGAGCCACGCAAACAGGTTGGCAAAGTTGCAGTTACACACCCAAGGGTTGCCCTCCAGCCTCACCACCCGCAGGGAGGGCAGCTGACTTAGCGCACCCACCTTGAGGCTCGACAGTGCGTTACGCTCCAGTTCCAATTCCCGGAGCGAGGTGAGGCCCAGGAAGGCGTCTTCACTCACCATGCTCAGGTAGGGGTTGTTACCCAGTCGCAGTTTGATCAAGCTCCGGGACTCCCCGAATGTGCCCTTTGGGATTTCCGTCAAGTTGTTGCTGCCAAGATCCAGGAAGACCAGCCTGGAGGAGGTGCTAAGAGTCCCCGGTTCGATGTATGAGAGCGTGTTGTTCCGCAAGTCCAAATAAACCAAGTCACTGTACAGAACCAGGAAGTCGGAGGGGATGCGGGGTATCCAGTTGTCAGCCAGCAGGAGCCGGCGAACGTCCAGGGGGATCTCGTCTGGGAGGTGGGTCAGCCCGCGGCCACTGCAGTCCACCGTGTGGGGGTCCGGGCAGAGGCAGGTCGCTGGGCAGTTCTCCCCCCGGGTCCAGAACACAGAGGTCAGCACCATGAGGACAGGCTGGAGCCAGCAGACACATGGCAACATGGTCATGGGGGGGAAAGGAGTTTGGGGGAAAGAGGGTGAATAGGGTAGGGGTCAGAGGACAGGAGATTGGGACGAGGATGGGGAACGGGAGAGTGAAAGGGGGATCAACCCCGCTGATGGAACATGCCAGAATATCGAGGGGCTCAAGGGGTGAAGGCAGAGCAACGAGGATGTCAGGGAGCTCATTTAGACGTCAGAGGGGTTGAATACACTCGAGCAGCCAGAAGTACAGATCAGGGATGTATTGGATGGTTGCGTGATTAGGGGGCAAAGGGAAGGTGCGGGGGGTGAGGGTGGAGGGGGGTATTCCTCGGATATGGCAGCGGTCACCAAGAAGGTCTGGGACGCGGTGATGGGATTCAAGCATGGCAAGCCACCGCCACGTCCCCCCATCGGTCCATTAGCGAGTGGGAAAAGCCTTTGTGACCACACAGAGAATCCTGCAGAACATCGCTCAAGCGTGGTGTAAGATTATCCCCCCCAGACTGCCCGACATACCACCCACCATCTTTTATTATTAATAGTGTTGCGATGATTCCCTTGCAGAGCTCCCAGCATGCACCCACCGAAAAAAATGACAACCCAGCTGTCCTCTTTAAGTCCGATCAGGAGCGGGGAATTAGCATCCAATCGGGAGCATGATGCGTGCAGGCACACACACATACACACGTACACACACAGACACAGCCGCGCAGCTTCGACGTCTGCCTCCGACTGTGGCACGACTCAGCTCGCACCCTCCAAACAATCCCATCCTCCCTCGGTGGAGGCGTGTCTCATCCGCGCTGTCAACACATGAGGTCACTTCCTGTGGTGTGACGACATAATAACCATCGTTGAAATCTGCCAAAGAGAGGAAGCAGGTGCCATTTTGTTGACCTACACTGGTGACTTACGTGAGGGAGATGTCCTTTGAATTACGATTTTTTTTTTCTTCATGATCTTATATCTTCATCGACAAAAAATGTTTCCATGTGCAGGGCTAATCTTCATTTGTAAACGACAAATGTAACCATATTGAGAACCAAATTAATGGATAAATTGATTATAATCTTACACAATTTCAGACTTGTAGCAGTTAAACAACAAAAGAAATTGGGTGGACATGTCGATCATAACAGGACACAAAAAAATTGAAATAAGCCATTTTGCTTTGAAGCAGCCACTTAGGGTGAATTCTAGGCTTAATATTTTAACTCTGCCTGGGGAATCCACCCACAATAGCCACATAGGCTGATTTAAAGTTATTCATAAATATTGTACTCACGATGTTATGTTTCTTATTTATTCCAAATTTGGACTGCGCACATACTGCTAAAACTGCAATACCGCTACTTCTGGTTTCAGCCTTCAATATTATTTCATTCTGTGTGTTCATACATCTTACTGCTTGGTATTTTGGACTACTTGATGACGCCAGCAAGCAAATGAAGCACCATGTGAACCGATTGGCTGGAAAGCCTCAATGATTTATGAAGCTTCATTTCGCTATATGGGGACATTATTGTATAATATTTAAAAGCATTTCAAGATTTCATACCCTATTCTTTCCACTGTACAGCAGGTGTCATTAGAGAGCTAACTTGAATGAAGCATCGACTAATGAACCAATATCTGAAGCAATACCCCAGTGGTTCATGAGGCTTCATTTTACACATCACGACCTCATGCACGTGAAATGAACTGTAAATGATCTGATAAAAAGCTGTTGTTTGGTTAACACTGGTGCTATGTCTTTCAGCGGCTCAGCAACGTGCATGAATGGATTTATCCTCACGACAGTCACGGGTGTCTGGAGCCTATCCCAGCTCTCTTTGAGTAGAAGGCAGGGTACACCCTGAACTGGTTCCCAGCCAAGCATAGGGCATATAGAGACAAGCAAAATCCTCACAGTCACACCTAAAGACAATTTACAGTGATCAATTAACCTATCGTGCATGTTTAGAATGTGTGGGGAAACTGAATTACACGGAGAGAACCCACACAAGCATGGGGAGAACATTCAAACTCCACACAGGAAGGCCGGAGAACCGAATCGAACCCATGAGCACTGCACTGTGAGGCGGACAAGCGAACCATTTGCTTACCGTGCTGTCATTGGTTCAGGAACATAATTTTTTTCTCGAAAATTGATCAAGGGCCACTGGCCGTCAGTTTCCTATCACTGATGTAGTATAAAGCTTTGGCAGGGGAATGTCAATTACTCATGGATTTTCACTATTTGAGGCAGGGCTCAGTAGCTATGTGGTTTACTATAGGCTACATCATAATGCTAGCTAGCGACAAAGCGAGTAACATGGCAGAATGACTCACTGTGAAAGACAGCATTAAGTACCTTGTTTGCTATTAGGGCTTTACATTACGTAACATAATTCACTTTTCAGATGGCAAAAGTTCGCCTGAGATTTAAATTCCAAACCTGGCTGCAGAAATCTGGATTAATCCACATCACACGCCTGCTGCCCGACCCCTGCTGCTCTTTCTTTAATCGACTGTACGGAACTCCCTTGTGTGACGTGTAATCCGCACACGATGTGTATTTTATTTGCCTCTGTGTGCAGTCGTAATCGTGGGTGAAGACGCCATCTTGGTCGACATTTCTCCAACAGCAAGGTGACTTTGATCATTCATCTTCCTGCTGTTAACGCTTCAATTATGTACAAAAGACAGACCAATTTATGAATTGACACAAGCGATTGCTCGCACTGAGCTGCCCACGTTTAAAATGAAGAAAAAGGCAGTCAAGGGCCGTGCAAGGTCACTTTTTGGGAGAGCTGCGTGAGTTCGCCCGGTAACAAAGCAGTCGTTACGTCTGCCAGTCGCAGCACTTGAGCTGCATTTTAATAGGAAGCCTCTCAAGCAGGACTCCACCATGCTATGTCTGCGAGTCCACTTCACATTCGGAGGCTGCCAATTAATTTAAAAAAAAAAAAAAAAAAAACTAAAACACGCCAGGGAAGCGAGCGTGCCCTCTTGCATGATAACAAGCTTTGACTTGCAGCTGAGGGATTCCACACAAGTTTATGTGGAAGACACCACAACCGCATTGCCAAATTTTGATCCAACTCAGCAAAGGCCTGATAATCAGATGCGTCTAAAAGATTATATGTCTGGTGTGTATGACAAAAACTAAATGTCAAATCATATTAGGTATCTGACATCAAAGTATTTTCTTCCAAATCATTTTTTGTGTTAGAGCATTTCAACAGTTTTAAACATTTTTCTTTAAAAATATTGATAAGGTACGACAGTAATCCTTTGCTCTCAGACAGTTCATCATTCACACCATCGCCGTTTTTGTGAAAAAAATAAATAAATTACAGTGCTTTGTGTTCCGCATCCTGATTGGCTAAGGAACTGTAGACTGATGTCAACAGTCTCTGAGCCTCATCGCTGTACAGCTTGCCAAATTCTCTCCATGACAAAACCCACAATGTCAACGAAACGTTCTGTACACTGTTTTTAAAAACTGTCAATTGTAAGAAAACTATTATATAAATACTCACATTACTGGTAGTTCAAGAAATAGGTAGAGTGGGTGTCTCTGAATTTGCAAGCTGGCGCCACCGTGAGTTTAAGACAGGCAAAAGTTTAATTGGCACAATAAGCTTTCACAAGGAACTAGCAGTGTTGTTTATGTGTCGTGTGTTTGTATGTGTGTCTGTTCGGTGATGGTAAGCCAAAGAGTGAAATGTCATTGAAAGTCAACGTGAATGTGAAATGTCAACTAAAAGGAAAAAACAGGATGTGCGACATCGTTTATTATTTTGACTATCATCTGCAGTTACTTGTTCTTGTTCAGGGTTGTGGATAACTGGAGCCTATCCCACTTACCTTAGAGCAGTACAGGTGGGTAACACCCGAGATTCACAGCTATGGACAACTGAGAGTCAACAAATCTAACATGCATGATTTTGGAAAGCGGCAGGAATCGGTAGTGGACTTTGTGGGTTCGCTGCATGCTTGCCAGTTTTAAAAAAAAAATTCAATCACTAGTTTTGCCTTCACTCCTTCGTCAGGTGACGACCTTCATCTAATCTCATTGAAGGACTGTGAATCCATTTTGCAATTGATTGTCTTCTCTCCTGCTCAGAGACTGGCGGCAGGTTGTTTCTCTATCACCGGTAGTGACAGTCAACTAAACTAAATTGCTCACATGCTGCATGCTAGCTAGTTGATAGCACGTGATGAGAAGAACAGCGAGAGTAAAACACGTGCCAAAGTGAGGTTAAAGATTTGTATATTAGATATATATATATATATATAAAATACTGACTCAAATATTTAGTAATGTAATTAGAATAGACAGTCAAGAGGTAGCTGATTTACAACTTCTTAATTTCAGTAAAAGTAAAGCAGTAGAGACTGAAATGTAATTAGTACAAGAAAAGTAACACAGAATTCTCTCTCTTAGGTACAACACCCACTTTGATAATTTGGTACAATGAAAAAAAAAAAAACACACATAAAGTCCGTCTATAAAGTTGCAATATCCTCGTACTGGGCAGAAAAAAGAAAAAAATTAAGTGCTGGATGCAGCTTCAATTCTGGCTGGATAATCAGGACTACACTGACAACAGGCCCTTCATGAGTCCCTGAATTTCTTAATTATATGCTGTGTTATCTGTCGAGGTTGAAAAACAACTAGACTATTTTGAAACAAATTAGGAGTGGAAAGCTCAAATACCGGTTTCCAAATATTGGGGGTAAAAGCATGACATAATCAGAAAAATACTCAACTAATTGAACAGATAGCTGAAAAATGTACTTCAGAATCCTGTTACTTCCCACCATGGAGCATATTGTTGCATTCACAAAATGAATGGAAGACAGAGGAGTAAAAAAACAACTTGTTAGGTAACACTTGTGGCCCAGTCAATTTCGAGCCCCCAACGGTTAGCCCGTTCCCAGCGTGATAGTTCTCGCCCACTGTAATTAAGCTCCACCCATCCATTATTGATGAATGTCAAACACAGCGTGACGCTTGGCTTGCTAAGCTGACGTGTGTCCTACAGTCTCCTGGTCACAGCAGGTTGGGCGGAGAAAGAGAATGACTGCGAGGCTTATAGAAACAGACTGGCGAGGACGTTAAGAGGAGCCTGCCGTAAATGTCACTTTGCCCCTTTCGACGCTTCCCGGAATGAGGCGGCGGCGGCATGCTGAAGACGCGGCAGCAGCAGCAGCAGCTGTTATTTCTTTGAGCCGTCCTTTGACATTCGGGAAGTGTGGGCACCTTGCCCCCCCAGAGGGTGGTCTTGCTCGACTGGGGATTGTTGAGGATGAACGCGAAGGCCGGAGGCGACTGTTTTAGCGTCATATGACACTTTGTTTCCACACAAGGGTGCAACTCTTTGAACCTACTCTAAGGGATCGCTGGTCCCAAAAATTGCAGGGCACATAAATACAAAAAACATTCACGACTTTGGACAAATTTGAGTCTTCAATGAGACCTAAGGTGAAATGCCGGTGTAAATCACGAGTCAACCGTGCAGCCTCGAACGACGGTTTATCTTCTAAAATTGTATCACAACTGGTGGAAATGTGCCTTAAAAGTCATCCTACAGAAGGATGAGAGATTATTTAACAGGCCACTCTCATTCAACAAAAATCCCCCTATTCCAAAACCTTGAACAGAACCATAATCACGATAACCTGAGGCATCAGTGACGGCAAGCTCGAACGAATCTTCCAAATTGGAGTCTCTTACGACATGTCTTTTGTTTGAAACCTAAACTTTCATTGACCTTCACGGTGAGTACGCAGATACAATCTACTAAAAGAAGTCA